ATGCATGTCTGTGTACGAATACATGCATATATATATGTATACATATACATGTTTATATAATAACACACTTCAAATATTAATAAGTTCATGTATGGTGTGATCTATTCTAATATACGATGGTAGTATTTTAATATTCTACAAGCGGCGTTTTGCGTAAATTAGCGTCATTAAGATCCTAATCACTGACAGCTTTCACTGGTAAACAACGTCATTATTGTTGAGGAAAACAGCCGTTTACATTTCTACTTATTGTTCCTCGTTCTAAATAAGTAAACACGGAACCGCGATCGTCGCCCCCAAGAAAGATACCCTCGTAGTCCTAAGTGCGTTGCGTAAACCGTACCGCTTGGAGGTTATGCTCGTCTTGCGATCGCGAGTCAGGACGAGGAGGTAAGACGGGATAGCCGAGGTGCATACTTGCTAGTGTACACAAATACGCGCACGACGGGCGCTTTTGTTTTTCCCTTTTGAGAGAAGTACGGCGTGTCGCACCGGCATTCAACATTCACCAGACTTGTGACAACAAACGACATAACACATCGCACAACACGGAATATAACAGGACCACTGAAGTCTGAAGTCTAAACTTCTAAAAGTTCTGAAGTTTAACCTGGACTATTCCGAATAGCGCTGATTGGAATAGCGCTAGTTGCCTCAATTGCTGGATTCACACTGCATCCGATTTACATCGTACTCTCTGCAACCAATCAGAAAACAGGATTCCGATGAATTTTGCTTCGTATTATCGGAATCCTGTACGCAGTGGGTGCATTCAGTACCACGACCGCTCACTGAGCGCTCAGTGAGCTCTTGAATTTGTTTGGTCTATATTTTTAGTTCTAACGGAATATGCCAATCAGATGCAAGAGCTCACTGAGCGCTCAGTGAGCGGTGTAGTACTGAATGCACCCAGTGTGAATCCTAAATATGCCTAGTTTACATTAGAGACACCATAATATAGACACCATAAAAGAGACTGGCATAGATGGGCTAATTTTTAATTGGCTGGATATGGAATGGCAGAAGCCAATCAAAAGTCGTGCTAGTAATAGATGATAGTACAGCCCGAATTCTGATTGGCTTCTGCTTTCCTACTTTTTCTGCTTTT